CAGCTTCTTCCAAGCTGCTTGGACAAGCAGCGAAATGTATCAGACCAAAAGAAAAGAAGTCCAGCTGCCATGACTCAACCTCCAGATAATGCAAATAGGAAAGAAAGGGAGAGAATGCCAGTAGAATTAGCAGATATTGGATGTAGCCCTCTGAAATCAGGCGTTGTTGAAAAGGAGTGCTTGAATGTAACATAATCATGCTGCCATAAATCTTGGCAGTAAACCTGCAGAGTAATAATTTACATAAAGGACTAGCAATTGCTTTTTGAGTACATGATGGTGGTGATGCCTGTAGAATGCAAATACGGGGGAAAGACATTTAAGATGAGCAAATACACCCGCCCTGATCTGAAATCCAACAACAGCCTGGAAATAATATAAGAATGTATATCGTATCTTGAAATGACTCCTTGCACATGCTTTTTTTAAATGCACAAAAGTAGTTTATAAAGCCATCCTGAAGATCCATTAAAGACATCCATTGATTTCTTCATATCTGTGCTGTGTGAATATTTAATAGTATTTATATATTTAATTGTCAAACATAGGAGATATTTAAAAGAATAACTGTATAGTTTATTGACGTGATAATTTTTAGTAGCAAGAAATTATAGTTAAGAATTTCAGTATTCTGTTATATCCTCTTAGCTTCTGGCTCACTGGTGAATCCAGTAAGTAAATATTAAAATATTGTTTTATTAAAATATTTACTCTGTAGTACAAAACAACTAGTTAGTTACCAGTTCTTCAAGTGATCATCTGTGAATTCACACACCTAGTTATATAATCATGCAGAGCCCCATTTGAAAATTTTTAGACCTTAAGAGTGTTTGGTGTGGACATCATACCATGCTGCTAGGCATGACTCCCACTGAGCTCTCTTCAACTCCTAAAACCACTGCAGGCAATCTGAAGAAATAAAGTCATTTGAGACTATGTATTGTAAGACTATGTGAATTTATAAACAATCACCTGAAGAACTACAGCTACAGATAAATAACCAGTACTCATTATGATCTCTACAATTCACATAGGGATGGCTTGCAAAGTTCTCATCTGAACCACCTGGATAAAGGTGGAGAAATGAATCCATATAGCTGCCTGGGATCGTTCTAGAATGGTTACGATCTGGAGGAAGGTGTGAGGAAGTTGGCATTTAGCAAATGTTGAACCTATACATGTTATGGGAAATAATGGTATGCTCCTTGCTATGTGTTAAGTTTACCAATCCGAGGGCAATACTTTACAAAGATACCATCCAACATTGAATTTCAGCACATGACAATGACCAAAACTACATAAAGAATATTCTAAGCACAGCAACTGTATGGCAATTTATGATTCTTCCAAAAGAAGCAAAGCGTCCACAAATGCTACTACACAAGGAGTGAACATATAATCAAGGAGCCAAAAAGATTGTGTTAAATGTTGTATTAATATGTTATTTATTTAGTGTCAGAATCCTCGCAAGATTTTATAATAGATTGTCATATGGCTAGTTTAGAAATTGCTTTTTACATGCTGCGGTTCTGCCATTGTAAAAGGGGGGGGGAGGGAGAAGGGGGGGGAAGGGGAGGGAGGGGGAGAGGGGGAGGAGGGGGGGGGGGGGGGGGGGGGGGGGGGGGGGGGAAGTAAGAAAAACAGCTTTTGGCGCGCTTTTGCTTAGTCTTAGCAATGCTTTGGATCTGTACACTTATTCTCAATAAATTAACT